AAACTTTAAACCCATTAAAAAGCTTGATTTCTTTCTCTTGTTTGATTTCTGGAATTTTTTTATTTACCCATAGAATTTACATTATTTTAGAAATGAAGAGAAAAATGGTTGGGGTGATCATTCAGAAATAAGAAGGCAAAAATAAGTAATAATATTTATTTTGACATTTGCCGACCTTTCGACCTGAAGTTCAGGTCTTCATCAGGGCCGAGAAAAGAACCAGATAATAAGGTATGAGAAAACATAAATAATGTAGGTAAAAAAAAAATTAAAGTAAAATGAAGTGGGTAGAAAAATGACAATAGTAAGAACTAAGAGATAAATAATAATAACCGTTACAAAGTGTAGAATGATGAAGCAAACATAATCGAAAAAGGTGACATAAGTATTAAAATGGTAAACTTAGAATAAAATATAAAACAGAAAAAAAGGAATATGAAGTTATATAAGTAATGAAAATAAACCATACATCTCTCTCCCTCCCTTGCTACCATAGCTTTACTTTGTTCCTGTCACCTAAGGACGAAGGTTGGTTTTTTTCTTGTTTTTTTCAGTTTTCTCTTCTTTTCCTCCTTCCTTTCATTCTTTTTCTCTGTTTTAACTCTTTATTCTATTGTACGTTGTCAGTATATTTTGATAGACTTTACAATATCTCAATTTTCTATCTAACTTTTCTATTTTCAATATTTTAATTTTACTATTTTTTTTTCATTTCTTATACACTGACAGGCAAAAAATTCCATCCACTTGATTTTTTCATCTAAAAATATTTCTGCTTTTTATTGGTCTATTGTTTTTAATGAATAAATATGTAGTATTTTTTTTTCAATTAGGAATGCTAATATAGAGGACAATAACAATTAATCCTTAATTCAATGAAATGATTCTAGATTCCAATGTTTACTTTCTATGGAGTCAAAATGTTTATTCAGTATCATTAGTTAAGTGCCATTTCTTGCAGCACATTTCTTAGTCTCTGGCTTTTAAATTTTTCAATATTGTTTAATATTTTTATAAGTTTAAAAATACTTCTTAGTGCTGAGGATGTTGCGCGTGGTGTGGCAATTATTGATGATGGACGTTCCATTAGGTATGCAGCTAATGCCATCGGAGTTCCATACGAAACTCGAAGAAGTTCAAGGTGTGTAAATTTCTGAGCGTACCGCTCGGAGAAGATTAAATGAGTATGGATTAATGGTTTTTCGTCCAGTAAGAGGACCAGAGTTGACCAGAACTCACAGCGTAACACGGCTGGCTTTGGACTATGGACGAATGGAGTGTTGTACTTTTTACAAATGAGTCAAGATTCGCTCTTCGATCTCCATATGGGCGTGAAAAGGTGTGGAGAGGAAGAAACGAAAGATATGCAGCCTGTAATTTTTTCCAGAGCCAACCTTTCCAACGTGGTTCCTTAATTTTGTGGGCTGGGATTTCAATGGAGAGCCGCACAGAATTGGTTGTTGTTCGTGGATTGTCATTGACGGCCATTCGCTATGTAGATGAGATTTTGGAACCTCATGTGTTGCCTCATCAAAATCATCAACGAAATCGGTGATCGTTCTATTCTAATGCACGATAATCCACGCCTACATTTCGCCCGCATATTGCAGACGTTACTTCAACAGAACATATTGAGGTTTTAGCCTGGCCAGCACGTTCTCTAGATTTGAACCCCATTGAGCATTTATGGGATAACCTCAGAAAATGAATAAGAGGGCGTGCAACACTTCCTGATACACTGCAAGACCTTGAAAGGGCTCTTCGGGAAGAATGGGCTATTCTCCAGCAAAGGGACATTTCCCGACTGGTTGAAAGTATGCCGAGGCGTCTTCAAGAAGTCGTGAAGGCAAGAAGAGGAAACAAGTGCTACTAAACGATGATGTAATTAATTTCTTTTAGAATAATAATGGTTCGTTTTTCAATTTTTCTAGAATCATTTCATTGAATTAAGGATTAAGGATCCTCTATATTAACATTCCTAATTGAAAACAAACAAAAAGATTACCTATTTATTCATTAAAAACAATAGACCAATCCCAAGCAGAAATATTTTTAGATAAAAACATGAAAAAATCAAGTGGGTGGAATTTTTTGCCTGTCAGTGTATAACTTCATATTCCTTTTTTCTGTTTTATATTTTATTTTAAGATTGTCATTTTAATACTTATGTCACCTTTTTCGATTATGTTTGCTTCATCATTCTACACTTTGTAACGGTTATTATTATTTATCTCTTAGTTCTTACTATTGTCATTTTTCTACTCACTTCATTTTACTTTAAGATTTTTTTTTACCTACATTATTTATGTTTTCTCATACCTTGTTATCTGGTTCTTTTCTCAGCCCTGATGAAGGCCTGAACTTCAGGTCGAAAGGTCGGCAAATGTCAAAATAAATATTATTACTTATTTTTGCCTTTTTATTTCTGACTGATCACTCCAACCATTCTTCTCTTCATTTACGACAGTCAACCATTAACCCACAATTATTTTAGAAATGGTAAGGGTGGAAAAATACAAAAACATTTTAGACCCTGTAAGGCTATTTTTATGATTGCCAGTTCACATTCTAACTGTCAACTCTCTATCTAGATTTTGAGGGACTGCAACGAAAAATTGTAGCGGTAGGAAAAAAAATATGAAACTCTCAAAAGACAATTTTCTTATACCGACTCCATTTATAAATAAACTTTCTAAATATATTTTGATGGTCAGTAGATATGCTACAATTTTTAAAAAGCTGTTACATATGCCAAAGTTTTGGTTAAATTTAACAAAACTTCTATGATTTAGTTCTACCTAGTAAAAAACCCTTCATACTGAATTTTACCACTTTTGAACCAAAGAGGTCCATTGGAAGCGCTGCAGCGTAGCGGAGGAAACGCATATGAGTCTGTGTGTGTGTTAAAGTTCCTCGATAGCACCATAATCGTGTTCCAGGTGTTCTACAATGAATATAAAATGCTGGATCTAGGTAATAGTTTTTGATGATCGATGCAAAAGTCTATTATTACAGGATAAAAATGTGGAAAAAAAATTATGTTGGGAGTACAAGATTCTAATATTACGATGAAACCTTCAATTTTGAATGATTTTTGCGGTTATTCGTAACTTTTTAATGAGACCATAAAAAAGTAAGTATGACCTGCAATCGTTAATTTTTTGTTAACACCACGTCTACTCAAAGATAAGAAAACAATAACAGTTCCTAGAATCTTAAAAGTAGTTCTAGAATCTTTTCTACTGGAGTTTTTTTATTTAAACATTCAAATGGATGGAAGCTAGGAGCGGATGAGCCGATTTATATTGACCTCACTGTATGTGAAAAAAAGACTCAGTGTGACATTTATGAAATCATTTTTTTATTTTATTTATTTTTTTCTTAATGACATTTGACATAAATACATCAAGTAAATTTGGACATAATAGATATAATGAAATTAATACACTTGCTGAGTAACTACCCAATGGTAGCACTCTAATGATATGACTACATTAGGAGATCACGGGGCCATCTTCTTTTCAGACGCCTCGGAGGGTTATCAGGAATTGAAGAGGAAGCAAGGTTAGAAACGAGAGGGTTGGGATGATTCTGAAGTTTATTATGGAAGGATAGGTATCTGGATTGGGCCAGATCTGAAACATAAGGAATATTAAGATCTTTGTGGATAATTTTATTAGTGACAAAGTAAGGAGCATTGAGGATTTTACGAAGGATTTTGGATTGTAAGGATTGGATGCGAGAGGAATTCGATGGTTTAGTGGAGCCCCATAGCTCAACTCCGTAAGTCCAGATAGGTCTTATTACAGTCAAGTATATGAGTCTTTTGTAATTAATGGGAAGTTTAGAGCGTTTGTCTAGTAAGTGCTGAAGTAATCGGAAACGTCGAGCGGTTTCTTGTCGTTTCAGTCTAGTATGAGGATTCCAAGTTAGTCGTTTGTCCAGGTGGAGTCCTAGGTATCGGATTTGCTCAACAGGGATAAGTGGAGTATTGTTAAAGGAAACTGTAGGACAGGAAGTCGTTGGTTTACGACGAAGGGTAAAGGTAATCTGGTGGGATTTATTGGAGTTTATTTTAATTCTCCAGTTTTGACACCATTCTTCTAGATTTATGATGTGTGATTGAAGCATTTGGGATGCAATTGCTGGGTCATTGTTTACTGATAGGATACATGTGTCATCGGCATATGTGGTGATGACAGTGTTGGGACAGGTAGGGATGTCAGCTGTATAAACTGTATAGAGGATAGGACCTAGGATACTACCTTGAGGAACACCAGCGGACTGAGAAGAAAGGGATGAATAGAAATTATTATTTTTAGTAGGTGTTTAAACAATGTTAAATTTGTACTTCTGAGAGAGCAGGTAATTTAGGTATCGCTGAGAATAGCCATAGGATACGATCTCTTGTTTGTGAGAATCTCTTATGATCTGTATATAGGAGATCCTCAGATGGTACACACCTTGAAAAAGGTGTGAGGGCTTGTGAAATACCTTCAGAGATTAATTATTATTCGATTAAAAAAGCGCACAGCGCGTCTTAAATAGGGTTATTAATTGTTTTCAATATTGAAAGGTGAATCCAAAATTAGCGCAGAATTGTAGTCTTATGATTGGAAACGGATATATTTTCGTAATCGTATAGATATGATAAAGAAGTATTTTTATTATCGAGTGTATCCTTGAAAAATATTACCTTGAAAAATATAACTTGAGATATCAAGAGTGTATTGACTCATTTATTAAGGTCACCTTGTCTCGTTTGCTTTCGACGTGTCAGAGATCCGCTTTACCGATCACTCAATACGGATCCTATTGGATATTATGGTAATATGTAGTCATATTTCCCTTATAATTTTAGTTCTGTGACCTAACAAGGAAAATTGACAAGCTTGTTTATAATTGCCAGATAAACAGACATCGCGCCCCTCCACTTGGGATAATGTCTTCTCTGTCAGTTCTTGCATCTGGATCAGTGCGGATCGTCTTGATTGGTGAGGATGTATGAGGCAGTGTATCTAGTCGCTGCGGTAGCTGTACTTTCCTTAGCGTGAGTACTTAAGTAGTTTCATTCTCCCTCCAGTGACAATAAATTATATTTACATTACGATCGCAGGTATGGCAGAATACCCATGTAACTGATGACTTCTATTAAAAATACCTCCTATGACCTTTTAATAGGACTAAGCAGAATTGATTATTAGAATAATTTAATTTTTTTTTCATCCTGTCCTGATGTTGTGATATATTTATTTACGTACAGACCCCATTTTATCAAATTATTAACATTTGCCTAAAACTTCCTGAATGGCTTTATTTTATCGTAACCTACAATTTTTCGATCAATGAGAAATCATGTCACTGATTATGTAAAATATTTTATCGATAAAAAAAATATGTATTAGGAAACCAAAACGTATTTAATGTATTTATACATGTATTCCTCAGTGTTTCTAAAACCAATCAGTATCCTATTGGGATTACAATAAAAACCAATGAGAAAACTTTCCTAATTTTGATGCGAAGTGATTCAGCAATCTTCCGATTTGTGTGTGTAATAATTTCATAACTTCTTCATTTATCCTAGGGGAGATACTTATTTTATAGATATATAAGTAAGAATATTTTTTTCACAGTGATTTATTCTCCCATTTTTTTTTTTTTCATTCAATTATATCATTACGTATAACGTTTCGGGATCTACTTATATCCCATCTTCAGACTAGAAATTACAACATATCGCTAATAACAATTATATATGAACAATAAAGCATTTATATAAATAAGCAATATAAATAAAAACAACAATAATTTAATTTTTATTTCATTTTGCCAATCTTACCCGTATCCTGCATCATCTTAATTCTCCATAAGACTTGTCATGTTAATAAAATGTTTAACTTTAAAATTAGTAATTTTAAAACTAGTAATAATAATTTTAAAATTATTATTTATTTACTTATTACTATTATTACATGTATTTTATTATTTTCAATGTTCAATATATTACCTGGACATCTTATTTAAGTCTCCTCTAGTTAGAGTCTATTCAGATACTGAAAAGTAAACTTTAAGCAAGGCGTCACACTCCAATTCTTATATTTATTTTGATATATCTAATTTATTTATTAGATAAGCATAGTGACTCCCTATTTTGGCCGCATCGGTTTTAAAATTAATAGCTGTTTTATTGTGTTTAATGAAGAATATTGACTCTATTATTTTTCTTTGTATGCTGTGTGTTTCTTTTATATAAAATTTGTGGTTTTACTAAGTTGAAATTGTGTCTATTTGTAATACCATGGTGGGCTAAGGCTGTTTTGTTATCAGTTTCACAATTTTTTGTATCATTGAGATGCTGATTCATCCTTTTTTCTACATTTTGTCTAGTTTCGCCAATTGTTAATAGCGATATCTTGTAATTTCTAGTCTGAAGATGGGATAAAAGTGGATCTCGAAACGTAATATGTAATGATATAATTGAATGAAAAAAATTGGAGAATAAATCACTGTGAAAAAAATATACTTACTTATATAATTTCATTGTGCATGAATACAAAATTATACTATGTATTTGACTATTCGCGAGAAAACTACGGTGTGTACTTAAGACCACACGATAGAAATGAAAACAACAAGGCGGAATTTATAAAATAAAATATACATAATTTTTTGTTTTATATTGACAAACTAATATCATTTACAATATAAACAATTTTTGTTCTTTATTCACAGAGATTTTTTTTTATTTATAAATGTTTTGGGCTCTTTTAATACCTGGGTCGTTTTCGCCCAATATGACAATTGAATCAACTACTACATAGGCATACATAAGAAAACTACAGCTAACAAATACAATCTAAAGTTTGGAAAGTTAAAAAATAATTATAGTTGATTATAGTAGAACAATTGAATTAAAGTTATGAAAATTAAAGGTTAAATATTACAATTAGACAAGTTAACAGAGAAAATTTTAATAAAGGTTAATGATTTCAAGAGTGAAAATTAGAAATACAATTTAAAAACTAAAAATTAATGTCAAAAGAAGAAAACTTAAAAAAGTAAAATTAAATATTATAAAATTCTAGAAGAAAAGTTTCCAAAAACGATTAAAATTAAAAGTTTTGTTTATTTATTTAGGTATATAATATTCTGTCTCGTGGACAATAATTATAGTGATAATAATAACAATAGTAACAAAATAATAATAAAAAAACTATGTATAATAAAAAAATAAAATAACCTAAAGATAAGTAAATTAAAAACACAGTCACAGCTATATACAATATATACAATCGGACAGGAAACCCAAAGCCAGGTTTCTCTATCCAACTATAGAAGAAAAAGCAGGACTCTAAGAGATCCCTGCGCTACTCACCCAACCGCGTCACTGGTGCTAAAGCCAGTGGAGTTTGAGCGAGAGCTCAAAATTAAAAGTTAAAGATTGAAAGACGAAAAAATGAACAGGTATATTTATAATTAGAAGAAGAACCATTTAAATTTAAATATCGAAATAACAGAAAAATGAGTAAACATATACGATTTAAATTAAAACTTCGATGGTGCTCCAAATAATGTTGAAATGAAAATAAATGTGCATTTTTAATGAGTTTATAAACATTTAAGTTTTTCTTACTGTTGATTAAATTTTGTGAAATATTTTGTTTTATTTAAGGAAAAATTATTAGTTTCTGAGATATTTTAATCCAAATGCAACAATTAGTCGAATCAAGACGCCTTTACCCGAATGAACGTTACATAGCCGAGCGTGACGACTCAATCTCATTCACAAAAAAGTGCTAAGTGAGCCTGAAAAAGTATTCACAACAAAAAATTAACCAATAATTGGCTAGCAAAAAATCCAAGGATAAGGTATACGTACTTATTAGACATAGGTATTTATTCAGTAGGCATGTTTTTTCTAGTTAAATATAAAAAAAAAAAAAAAAATCTTTCGAAATCAACTCGAGTTTTCGTTTCTTTGTTGTTATCGTAAATCGACGTTTCCGTCAGCTAGAAGAAAAATGGTTTAGATACAGATAAACTTTTAAACTTTTATAGTATAGACCCAAAAGTACTATAGCTTGTCATAAACAAGTTATATAAATAGTAGTTACTAATTACATAAACAAGTGGAAAAATATGTTTCTATGAAATGTATCTGTATTTATATGTATTCCCAAGACCAACCATAGAATGTCTTAAGCTAAATAAGGTGTTTGTTTCGACCTTTCTATCGCTCTAAGTACCTATTAATCTTAATTATAATCACAAAAATATCTTAATTAGTCAATTAGCCAGGTTAGATAACGAACAAGGAGACAGCTCACCTGATCCAATGATGAACTACGTCGTATTGTTATTAGAGTTGCTCAAAATCGGTCTTGGTCTTGCACTTTGCAATAACTAGACCAAGACCGCCTAACTGTTGCAAGAACAATACCAATACTTGTAAACAAAATCTATGTTTTGAATAAAAATTAAGATAAATTAGTCACTGGTACTTGACAATTTTAGTTACTATATCTAAAAAATTGATATAAACAACATACTTTTGAATTTAACTTAATTATAATTTTTCATTCAGGATTAGTTAGGTTTCTGCTTTCTAAAAAATTACAGAGATATCTCTATTGTAATAAGCTGATAGGTAACAAATAGATTGTTGCCAAGACTGAGTTTGCAAGACCAAGACTCACCTTGGTCTCGCATTTGGGCAACACTAATATTTATCAAGAAAATTTAATAAAACGTTAATTGAAAATTAGTATTTGAACATATTGTTAAATATTGTACCATGAAATACATTAAAAAAAGATAATTTGAAATGAATGTACCTCTAATGAAAGCAAAAAAAAAATTACATATTAATGAAAACATTATTTTATCAAATTTTGTGTAAGTTACGAGTAATAGGAGACACCATTGGGGTTATTGACTTGGAAACTAAGAGGTATATTGTCGTGTCGGGAACCAACCTTGTTAAGCTGGTTTATAGTACAATTGATGGATGGAAGACTGAATTTTTAAATCGAATAGCAAGAGAGATGGTGGGGAGGGGGATTAGTTACTATTCTTTTTTACTTGATCTATTTTATTTTTTATTTTCAGAAATTATTTAGAAAAATTAAACATATTAGAAATCATTTATCAGTAGGTTTATAATTTAGCTTAATTTACCAGCAGAATATTTATATGTATATTATCAATTATTTAAAAAAAAATAATGATGTTGCTTTGAGGGTATGTCTCAACCGGTTGTTCCAAGTTTTATGAATAAAATTATTTGGACAAACGCCTTACCTGGAGTCCTCATACTACACTTAAAAGACAAGAAACTGCCAACAGATTCCGACTACTACAACACTTACTTGACAAACGCTCTAAACTTCCAATATTCTTCAAAAAATTCATTTACACTACCATCATCAGGCCCATTTGGATATAAGCTATTGAGCTTTGGGGTTCTACAAAAACTTCAAATTCTTCCCTTATCCAATCCAAAATCCTAAATAAATGGTCCTTATTATGTAACAAATAAAATTATCCATAAAGACCTCAACATTCCTCTTGTGGAAGACTTGACCCGAACTAGATATACCTCTTTTCATTCCTAACTCTTTTGTCATCCCAATCCTCTAGTTTTTAACCATTCATCCAACACAATTCCTGACAACCCTCCGAGGCGTCTGAAAAGAAGTTGGCCAAGGGATCTCTTAAATTAATTTATCTTTGAAGTGTTACCAAAGGGTAGCTTCTTCACAAGTACCTTCATTTAAAATATTCCTATATCAAATTTACTGGTTGTATATTTGTTTACAGTTGTAAATTTCAATATAATAATAAAATAAAAAAAATTATTTGGTGAGTTTCCATAAGTGTACTGAAATATGTTGAGCTTTGAATAATTAAAAACTGTTGTATTAAATTTCAAATGTACTTAATATTTTGTTGGTTTCTTATTTATAGCGTTCCGTCTCGTAAAACAGAAAAATCCATTAGTAGCCGACGTAACTAATAAAAGGTTTTAGGATGTTTGTTAGATTTTGG